AGGATTTGTTTAAACCTTGGGAAACTGGTACAGGTCCAGGTTTTGCTTTGATCCTTTTCAAAAACTGGAGACACAGAAGAGGGCTCTAGGAAAAAGTTTTGGATGGGATTATGTGGAAACTACCCTGCGATTCTCCGCTGCCAGAGCCGGCCAGGCGCTTCCACCGCAGCGCAGCCTTCCCCAGGCTGGGCTGAGCCTCGGAGTCTCCAAATCCCCAGTGACCGCCGCGAGTGAGCCCTCGCCCCAGTCAGCCAAATGCTCCTCCTCGGCCTCCTCCTGCTGACATCTGCCCTGGCCGGCCTGAGAACCGGGACTCGGGCTGAGTCCAACCTGAGCAGCAAGTTGCAGCTCTCCAGCGACAAGGAGCAGAACGGTGAGTCTCGCCCCCTCCTCCCCCTTCCCGCTTCTCTCTGCGTTCCCGTTGGCATTGTGCGGTGGCCTGTGGGGTCCTCCAGTTCTGGAGCTGATGGTCGCGTCTCTGGCGCTGCAGATGGAGTCCAGTGAGTCCGCGTGCACTTTAGGAGGGTGATGGGGATTCTGGATTTGGAGTTTGCAACTTCCAAAACTCACAGGGAAGCGGGAGTGCCCCACAACCTCCGCTTGGAGAGGACACTCAGGCTGTGGGAACATTGGAAAAGTCAGCTGTGACCACATTGCAGCGTGGCGTATGGCCAGAGTTACGAGAAAAAGAACACCTTTAAGAAGAAATAAAAAATGAATGAGTCGTGGCATGTTTGACTTTACACAGGTGTGGGGGGTGGGTAGAATGAAGAGTTCAGGAAAGTTATCAGCGTCCTTAATTGAAGACAGGCACCAATTAAGAAATAGCTGAGAATACGGAGGTCCAGAAGCTACTTGGACATTTTCAAGGGAAATCAGTGATGGTTGTTCTCTTGCACTTTTTTTTTTTTTTTTTAACGTGCCTTTGTGCCCTGAAATCCTCACCTTTTGGCGGTGTGGTTTATTGTGTGTGTTCGTGAATGACTATTTTGTGTGTGTTGGAAACGACTTAATCCTGCATAGGAAATGAGAATTACTTTGAGCTTTCAAGTGTACCTGAAATGTTTAGAAAACTTTCAGATGCGAGTTCCCCTGGGCTGGGATTGCACAGAGCTGGAGAAAGGCTCCTTTCATAAGGCCAGGGAAACTTCGGGTGTGTAATTTGCTTAGCCTCTGAACCCCATATGATTTGCATCATTCCATTTCTAAACCCTTCTGCTCTTGATCTGCCATTATGAAGTAATTTTTGAGACTCTTTTGTAAATAGAAATTTTATACTGCACATGAAACCACAATGTTAATGTAGGCTGTCTGAAACTGGAATATTAAACACCCTGTTTACAAGTGGCGGTTCTTGCTGCTATTTGAAAAGAAATCTACATGTTTTTCTACTTTGTCATCTGTTTACAATGCTACTTCACTAGCCAGGTAAGAAGTCTATGAGCGACGTTTGGAGAATGAGAATGGAGTGCAAGCATTGTTTAACTCATGGTGACATTTTCTACATATAGGGCATGCTTCAAGAGTCCACATCTGGATTTCAACTCTGTAAAGTGTTCATCTTAAAACGAAGTCCCAAAATACATAAGTACTCTTCATTATCCCTAGCTGTGCCAGGATATGGTATCACATTTATTGTTGTGCTTGCTCCTTACCCCTAGCTAATGTTATGGCATGTGGCATCTGTAGGCTCCTGAACTACTGATCAAAGGGCAGTCTAGTGATCCATCTATAATCATAGGGCCTGCAAAGGGCTCAGGGGTCAAAGGAGCCACAACACTAGCTATACCCAAGCAGGAAGCAGATCCAACCAACCTTTGTTCTTTCTAATGCAAAATAAGTGTCCAGTTCAAAATATTGCTTCTTATTGGATCACCTTCTCTTCTATTCCCAGTGTCCTTCTTCTATTCCCAGTTCCTCATCTCTTACTGCTGTGTCCTAGCATCTCCCAGACTCCTCAGTACCTGTGCACAGCCTTGCTCTTTCCTTGCATTCCTTTCTTGTGATCCTCTGTGACCGGCTTTCACCACTTTGTGATGAGCCCTAGAGCTTTCAGCTGCCTGCAGCCACTGGGTAGCCTTACATCCCCAGGAGATGTGAGTTCATTAAGCCAGGCCACACACATTCTGGTGCCATCTGAGGCTGGGCCATTCTCATTCCTAAGATGCATGATGCTAAATATAGCCTAGTCGTTTCCTAATCTGTGGGCAGAGGATCTGGCTATGTTTAGCTCTTGGAGTGATGGCAGCAGGAAGTTAAGTAGAGAGCAGAGGAACTACTCACCTGATAGTTTCCAGCCTAAGGAGAGGTAGGACCGGCCAGCACTAGGGGGCAATAGAGAGCTATTTTTCTGCACATGCTCAGGTTGCATTTCCCACTTCATCAAGGTTTCAGGATTTGAAGCTAACAGGTGGGTGTGGAAAGAAGAGCCCTCTGGAATGTGACCAGATTTCCTGGAGTAACAGCTACTTCCTCCTTCTCTTGTCTTTCAAAATTGCCACTTCCTTTTTTGGGTTATTTTTCACTCTCATAGTGGGTTGTGTTTGGGTTTTGATTGCCCTCTTGCTCTTTGCATTGATGATCAATTCTGTTGGTGTGAACACTCCTAACAATTCCACCTAGAGGATGCCAGGGGTCCACTTGATGCATTGTATGCAAAGGCCTCCCAAAGGCCAATCCATAGTCTCCAAATTGATCTGGTTTTGTGATAATAGGAGCTTGTCACTGTTTTCAAGGTTCCATCCCCATGGTGTTCGTATTCCTAGGTCTCATTAGTATTACTTTGATGTGGGAATTGGTTGCTGTGTCTGTTCCATAGGGGAGCTAGATATACCCACTTAGATGGAGCATGTGGGCATGACTCAAACTTAGGGATTGGCATCAGTTGCAAGTTGCTTGTTTGTCTGTTTCCTATCGTAAGATTATAGCTCTTGTTATTTGAATGAAAAATACTGTTATCTACCTCCCCCACCCCACTGTTAGTGATCGAATCCAGGCCTCACACATGTGAGATAAGCAATATACCACTGAACCTTACCCCCCAGGTCTTCTTCATCCCTGAAGGCTTACTTCATATCCCGAAGGCTCCTGTATGAAGCAAAAATTTCTACATTTTCCTCAAGGAAATGACTTGGGAAATAACATTGGCCTACTTGGAGGATTTCTGCCTGTTAAACTCTGAGGGGAAATACTTATGTCAGTATGAAGTAAGTGTTTGGAATGAGAATGCCTACTGTGAGATTCAGAAGTTCTTCCTGAGTGCTTCTGAGTTGCAGCAGGAGGAATCATATATATATGTTCAGAAACAACAAGAAGAAAGTCTTATTTTGTGCACTGAACATAGCCCACATAGATAGCCGTTACAAAGCTGTTGGTGGGAGGCATGCCCCACATATCTTGTGTCAGTGATTTTTAAGGGACCCATAATCTGAAATTGCTTTTTGCCATCCCTATTCTCCCTAATTGCTTTGAGCTTTGACTTAGAGTTGGCCTTTATTGAGGTTCACTTACCACCATCAGCTATTGCATATGCTCTCTCCTACAGGGGCCTTCATAGTTCTTAGGGCAACTTACCTTGGGAAGAATAGTCCACTAGGAATGCTTTTGAGTTTTTGGTTCTGCTTTTAGTGCTAGCTCCTTCTTCCTACTGCTGCCACATGCCTGCATCTAATCAAATTGTGCCCGCCTCTTATACTCCATTAGGTGGAGCTTGCAATCTCTTTGGTGAAAAACTTATCAAAGTCTTTAGAAAAGTGCCCACTGTACATAGGGTTTGAGTGAGGGCTGGAAGGGCTTTCCTGCAAGGCAGTCCTTAAGTCTTAGTGTGTGACCTTTGTACCATTTATTTTTGTTATTTAAGAGCTTTAAAAAGAAACTTCCTCCTATGGTTTTGCTCTGTTTGAGAGAGCTGAGGCAGCTGACTAAGGAAAGAACTCTTATGTAATGATGAGTCCTGTCCTTCCCTTCCAATGGACGGATTTTGAAGGTTCTGCACCAAATGTTATAGTTTCGACTGAATCACAAATACTTCACAGTAGATTTAAAAGGTATTCAGAAAGTGCAAAGGTCCTATAGAAGTTCTGCAGATGGCATGGGATTGGTTAATTCCTTGGAAACAGATGCTGGTATTGGAGCTAAGCTTGGTCTGTAGTTGCAGCCTGAGTGGTGTAGATCATCCACTCAGCTGAGCCCTAGCTGTGCCGGGTCATATTCGTCATCCTGAAACCTCTTTTTCACCTGTCTTATGCTTAGTTCTACCTTTGTGCTTGTAACATCTTTAGTGTTAAGATTCTCAACTATATGTATAAACATCCAAGTCTTTGATTTAATAATAAATGATAATCTGATATATGATAATTTATATGAAAGTACCTTCAAAACATTTATTTTTAAGACCACTAAAGTTGTCCCCATAGGCTTTCTGCTATGTCAAAATAGCATGTGATAATCAAAGTTCCTTCATTGGATTATTCTCATATTAATGTTTTGAATTATTTACTTGAAACTGTTATTTGTAGCCAAAATAGCTCTATAATGTACTAGTGATGTAATTTGTGTTATGCATTTATCTCCACTTCTGTCTTCACCTGTGAGTAAAAATTTTCCTTTCCTTTCCCCTATGAATCTGTCTACGGCTTGATCTCCAGATGCTGTCCCTAGTACTCATTATGTACTGTTAAAATGGGGGAAATGTCAGGCACACACCTTTAATCCCAGCATTCAGGAGGCACAGGCAGGTGGGTTTCTCTGAATTCGAGGCCAGTCTGATCTACAGAACTAGTTCCAGGACAGTTAGGGCTGTTATCAAGAGAAACCCTGTCTCAAACACAATAAAAAAAGAGGGTCATGCTTGTAGTGGGTCCACTCTTCTACCAGCACAAAGGGGCCAGCCATTCAAAGCTGCCTGACACAGCCCCTACTTGAGAAAAGATTCTTCAACACTGGAGCCTCAGAGCTGACAGGTCAGGGTTCTTATCCTCCCAGCATCAAAGCTCTCTGACACAGTGGACAACTTAGCTCAGGTTGCAAGTAAGGTCCCTGGAGGGACCTGGAGAGAAGGGGTGTGAATTCTTTGGCTACACCCCATCTTCCTGCAGCTTTTTGGCGTCACTTTTAAGAGTTGTACCTGGAAGAGGTGTGGAGGCAGACATGGGTGGTCCAGTGGCTTAGTTGATTGTCCCTGCTTCTCTGACCAATACTGACCACTCTGCTTTTGCCTAAGTAGTGTCTTCCTGTCATGCATATTAGGCATACCTTCTCCAGGGCAGGTTTGCCAACCCTTCCGTCCAAACTATCCAAACCTTACTGTCTCATCAAGGATAATTAGCTGCATAGAACTTTCCATGCTTTGTTTTATTGCTCTTGGTGCTTCAT